GCGTGTCTGTTCAAGACCGCGGAGGTCCAGTTCCTCCAGCCCCTCGGCGTGTCTGTTCAAGACCGCGGAGGTCCAGTTCCTCCAGCCCCTCAGCGTGTCTGTTCAAGACCGTGGAGATCCAGTTCCTCCAGCCCCTCAGTGTGTCTGTTCAAGACCGTGGAGGTCCAGTTCCTCCAGCCCCTCAGCGTGTCTGTTCAAGACCGTGGAGGTCCAGTTCCTCCAGCCCCTCGATGTAGGACAGTTTCTTACGCTCCAGAATGTATCTAATTGTTTTTCTCCAGAGTCCAGAGCACCAATATCTGTTCTATAACATGGTGGCCAAAAAAAGTGAAGCAGTATTCTACACGAGGCCTTAATTGTTCATAAACATGTTCTGTTTCTGTGTTAATTGACCCCCCACCGTGTTTCCCCTGCCCTCTCCAGCCCAGCGGGAAGAGCAAGGACTGCGTGTTCACCGAGGTGGTGCTGGAGAACAGCTACACGGCCTTCCAGAACGCGCGCTACGAGGGCTGGTACGTGGCTTTCACCAGGACGGGCCGGCCCATCAAGGCCTCGCAGACCCGGGAGAACCAGCGGGAGGTCCACTTCATCAAGAGGCTCCACAAGGGGCCCCCTCCCTTCCCCAACCTGGAGCGCCCCAAGAACTTCGAGTTCATCAGCTTCCCCCCCACCCGGCGCGCCAAGCGCACCCGGAAGTGGCGGAGCCCGTCCTAGCGCGGCCAGGCGTGTAAATAGGACTGAGCCGGAGCTCGTTGCCAAACCGCGACACAGAGAGGGGCCTTACAAATTATTTTTCTATTCTATTGCTTTTATATACAAAACCTGAAAAGGGGGCTCTGTGGCAGGGAGAGACATTTCTCTATACAATGTTAATGTAAATTTGTGGCTTTTGTACAGCAAGACGGTAAATAAATGATTGTATATATGTTAAATGTGACCGCTTGCGTCAGTGCTTGCTAGGGGTGTGCACAGGTAGTGAAAGGAAGACGCAGACGTGCTCATTGCTCTCAGCCAAGGTGACGGAAAGCTGGTATTCATCCTGACTCCTGGAATACAGCCAGCAGCAATATCACTCTGCAACCCACAGCTGGCAGCCCACTGAAGCTCAGCAGCTGTGAGCCTGGCCAGGACCTGGATGGGAGACCTCCTGGGAAAAAGGCTGCTGCTGGAGGAGGTGTTAGTGGGGCCAGCAGGGGGTGCTCATGGGGACACTATACTGTAAACAGGTTCCGTCCAACCGAGGTCCTGACTCTCTGTGGTCATTAAAAATCCCAGGGTGTTTATCAAAAAGATTAGGGGTGTTACCCCAGCGTCCCGGCCAAATTCCCCATTACCAATCATGGCTTCCTAATAATCCCCCTCTCTGAACTGGCTTCATCACTCTGCTCTCCTCCACACTGAGAGCTGGTGTGTGGGGAGAGGACTGGTGCATCATCCAGGTGGGGCTGCACACTGGTGGTGGTGGTGGAGGGGGGTTCCCATTATGTGTAAAGTGCTTTGAGTGGAGTGTCCAGAAAAGCACTATATAAGTGCAGGCAATTGTTGTTATTATTATGAATACAATTTCACTTTGGAAATGCAGAGAGCTACCCCATGTACACTGTCCCCATCAAGGAAATTCCGGTATGAACATGCCACTCTCGGTTGTTTTTTGTTTTTTGTTTCTTTGTACTTGTATCACTCAAAATAAGTATTCTTACTTTTGCAGAAAATCCCCATGTACAGTAGGCGGTCTCAGGTTAAATGTTATGCTGCATCCACTATTGAAGTGGACATGGAGAAAGACATTTTACTACCAGTGCAGAGCTCACACAATGGAAAGTAAATCATATCCAGTGCTTGTGGTTTCTTTATGCTATGATGTTGTGATGTTAGTAACGTAATGAACACGCATGCATGCCTAAAAAATATGGAAATTGTCAGCAGGTCGTAGAAATTCTTACAATCATCATAACAGCACTGAGAATGGAGTGCTCAAGTAGTTCAGCAGGATTCCATTTGTGCCTAACTGCATTTTTTTTTTCAACTGTAGGTCATTGTATGAATCCAATGTGCCTATATCAAATTGGCACAAGATTGTTTCTTTCCCTTGGAAATCTTCCTTGCAGTTTAATACCTTTAATAACAAAGCAGATCTCGAAGGCCGACCTCATCACCTGCTGGCATGGGGCACTCCAGAGTTCAAAATGCTCCACTCACATGCACAGAGAGCAGAGGAGTCCTAGTAAATTCAGCCATACAGGGAAAACCAGGTAGTCCAGACAGAGAAGGATGGAACTAGAATTAAGTGAGGACTAGTACTACTTTGTTCAAAACTATAGTCACCCAGGTAGTCAAGACCTCAAGTCAATATCTTGCTCAGTGGCACCCTTTCATAGCACAGTGATGTTTCCAATAAAAAGCATCAGTCAGAAATATCTGTTCTAGAGGGAATAGTGCCACCTACTGGTCTACTAACACCACCCGAGTTTCCTTTGATGTTTCTTGTCTCAGCATGCCAGTGATCGGGTCCTGCCTAGCTGAGCTTCTGTAATAGGGTCTAAATGACAGAAGACGATCTCGACTGCCGTCAATCTGTCACCTAGATGGTGTGGGAAGAGCCACCCACCTCTCAGACAAGCGTGTTCTTTCTCACAACACAACATGCGGCAGGCAGCACCTCTCTATGTGCCGCTAAGGAAAATCTGAAAGTGAAAGAAAGTAAAGTCGTTCTTCTGTAACCCTGTCCTCACTCTTCCCAACAGGAGGCAGTGGCTGCTGGTATACTCTGTCTATCCGGACACGTGGGTCAACATAAATCGTGGAGAGCCGGGTACAGAAACTGGCCAGTCCAGCTCACAGGTGCTACATGAGCTACAGGAACTACACTTCCCATAAGCCCACTGGGCGACTTCCTGAAGTGCGAGTCCCTGAGTTCCTCCCGGCGCCGGTGGCTTCAGTGGTGCATAGAATGAACTCACACGGGATCCCCTATTTAAAGGTTTATTTTGTTAAACATCAGAAAGTGCCATGGGAGGGTTTCCAGAGGTTTTTCTAGGGATGGCACAGGACACGAGCACTGCAGCCAGCCTGCATGAGGACACTACTCCAGACTCTTGTGCCTCCACCCTGTCACCTGAGTACACCTGGAATAAGGAACAGAGTGCAAGCGGTCCGTAGCTAATAGCAAAATTGCCTTGATCCCCCAGGTTGCTCCTAACTAAAGCCATTGATCTAGTGTTACCTGTGGATTCATATAATGCAGGAGGCTATTTCTTACTTAGACAGCAACAGCTGGATCCACAGCCAGCGTGTCTTGACCTAGGCATTGACGAGTGTGTGTTCAGAAGCTGGAGAAAAAGCTACTCATTGTGGCATTGGAGGGTCCCAAAACAGAAGATGGAAAGAAATACTTCACTTCTGTGGTCGAAGGATTTGAGCTCACAGACGAGAATACCGCCATTGTTTAGAACTGATGAGACAACACTGGGCAATCCGAGATGTGGGGATCACAGTTCATAACTGCTAGTTTGTCTTTCCAAGCTGCAGTCGCTCTTGCTTGGTCTAGTGGAAAGAAATGCTCTGGTCTCACACGGAGCTCAGCGTGCAGAACTTGAGTGTGGATTGCATTAGCGTGTGGAGAAGTCCTGCAACTTGAACAGCAGTGGTGCTGCTGTGATAACTGTACACTGATCGACCAGTAAGCCAGACAGCTGGGGGGTGGGGGAACAACAACCATCTTCTAACTGCTTCTTCGAGTTCAGGGCTGCTGGGAAGCAGGAATCTATCCCAGCAAGCAACGGGCTCAAGGCAGGGTACACCCTGGATGGGACACCAGTCCATCACAGGTCCCACACACAAATGCACACGCACTCATACCAGGGCCAGTTTTCCCAGATGTCAATGAGCCTGCCCGTATGTCTTTGGGCTGTGAGAGGAAACCAGAGCACCTGGAGAAAACCCACCCAGACCAGAGGAGAACACACAGACTCCTCACAGACAGCACCCCAGGGTCTGGAATTTAACCCAGGGCCCCAGTGCTGCATGTAAGCAGTGCTAATTAGTGCATCGCCATGCCACCCACAACAACACAGCAATTCTACGAGATGGGGGGGGACATCTGAAGAGCACAGTGTAGTGTATTATAGTACAACCATCAGACATGGAGGAGAGAAAAATTAAAAATTCCATAAAGAAAAAATTAAATCTCTGGGGATCCAAGATCCCGTTCGGGCACAAGCTGTGTGTATTGGGCTCGTGTTTGAATGACAGCAAGCCGTGTGTGAAAGCAGGTGAGCAGTGGGTGTCAGCAGGGTTAATCAGTCTGGGGTCCCTGATCTTATAGGGGGATGCCCTGCTTCTGCTAGGTTTCTCCGTTCCCCGCCCTGTATAACATCCGTCTGGTGGGAAAAGCGCAACCCGGGCCGCTTTTGCGCATGTGAAATGTGAAATTGAACGTGTTGATTTGGGGGAAGAATATCCCTATTTAAAGAACAATCGAAATGGACAGGATAAGTTGCATAGAATATGCCAATTCGAAATTTTACAGGATAAAACTGATGGTCAGATGATCAAACGGCAGCAATCGGAAACGGTCATGAAGCGAGATTCTTGTGAAGGGCGAGCGGTTTTGAAGCAATACCCCCCCTTCATTTTTTGTGTAAAAAGGCAGCTGGCGTTTGTTAAAAAAATAACGTTATTTGGTTTTCTTTAACTTAACAAATGTCCTTTCCAAACTTGTTTTGGGGTCAGTTCTACCCCCTTAACAGGTAAATTACCCCCCGAGAAAAGCATGACAGAAACGCAGCAGCTTTCGTGAATTGACTCTATGCCAGGCTGCACCGAGTAGCTACACTGTCACTCTTCTCCGAGGTGCGGTGCTGCACTAAGTAACCTGGATACTCTGTTGTACAGCAGTGCCTGTCAACATTAAACGATTTGTGATCTGTTAAATGACTGAAGGTGGTTGCACAGTTAATCGGAGTACACAGTCTCGGGGGATTATCCCTGCCCACCTGGGCGACTTCCCCAATCAATAACCTTCCAGCCCCTGACAGATCAAAGCTTGCGATGCCTTTAAAAGAGAAATTTAAGATCGACTGGGAGTTAAAAGCAGCGATTATTTCTGCCTGGCTAGGTTCGTCCCGCACCTGTGAGAAACGTAGCACGTTTAAAATCAGGCAGCTTCGGGGGTGAGATTAATACTCCTGTTAAAAAAAAAAACTATGCTATTCATTCTCTCTTGCTGGTGGGACAAGCCTTTTGAAGACCGCTGATCCCACTGACCGAGGCGAGGTGTTAAAGTCATTAAGGGGGATTTAAGGCGCTTAGACCACATTTGTCTTGCCGTCTCTCCCAAGACCCTCTGCAAAGTAAACGTTTCCTCTCGAGGCGGCGAGCGCCAGGGGGATGTGTGCGGAAGGCAATGGAGGATTCAGTTTCGAGAACAAAAAAAAAAAAGAATGCAAACGTGCTGGTGAAATAATACAAGCTACTTAAAAAAATGAAATAAAACTGCGCACAGGTCCTTAAAAACTGTAATCTCTCTTCGAGAATTTGAAGAACTTGTTTTAAAAAATGTGTTGTATCCGACTCTGAGAGGCCACTCCTTACTTACGGGAGATTTTTCAATCGGTTTCGCTCGTCGGTTTTACCGAACTTGCAGAATCGGTTTGTGTTTTTTCTTCTTTTTTTTCTGCGACATTTTTCATTTTCTCCGGGATGTAACCACAGTCAGATTAAATTGAAATTCAGTTGTTCCAATGACCGGTCTGAGAAGGTGTGAAGCCTTTCGTCAATTAATGTTTTTTTTTAATATTTTGATAATTGATTGAAAGCCTTCTAAGGCTGAAACCAAACCTCCCCTCTTCCGGACATTTTAATTGAATGACGGTTTTTTGTTTCCTGTATTGAATTGTGT